GCCTGAGAACGGGCCGCTCGAGGAGGAGCCGCCGTTGCTCTACCTCGCCGGCCTCGGGGGCGAGGGCGGCGACGCGAGAGCGCCGTTCGCCGGGAAGCTCAAGGCCACGATGAGCTGGGGACTGCCGCCGTTTCGGTTCCTCGCGCCACTGCGGCCGCGAGACCGGCTGTGGATCCTGGATCGAAACGACGCTGCGCGCGGCTTCCTCGGGGATCTAGTGCCCGGGAGCGTGGACCTGCTCGCGGACTTCGTTGAGAGCTCCGCCGACGGCGGGCCCGTCGTCGCGCTCGGCTTTTCCGCCGGCGCTTACTGCATCACGGAGCTCCTGGCGCGCGGGCGGCCGCGCATGGAGGCGGTGGCCTTGGGGGGTCTCCACGGCCATGGGCAGCCCTATTTGGCTGGAGTTCCGGCGTACACGGACCCAGTCGGGAAGTTCCAGGATTACCTGGGCCGCTTGGAGGAGCACCCAGGAGTGCCAGGTGGCATCTGGGCCGCGCACGCCGAGGACGACGACCAGTGCCCGAGGCGGTGCGCCGAGGAGGCGCTGGAGGCATTGGGGGCCCGGAGTGCGCAGCAGGGCTTCCCGCGGGCGCAGCGCGCGTTGCTGCCGCCGGGCATCCCGCGGGCGCAGTGCGAGAACAGCGCGCTCTGGCGAAGGGAGCTGCCCCGCGCGCTGCTGCGCGCGGCCCGCGAGCGCGGCAGCGAAGGCGCAGAGCATGTGCTGGGCGAGGTTGCTGGCGGCGCGGCCGGCGCGCCTGGCGCCGCGCGCGTCTGGCTGCCGTGCGACGCCGACGCGGCCGGCGACGCGGCCTCCCAGGAGCTCCTCGCGAAGCTCCGCGAGGGGGCGGCGACGCGCCGACGCAACCGGAGCAAGAAGCTTCGGAAGGACGCGTCGGCGCGCCGACGTGGCCAGCCGACGCGCGCGGAGAGGCGGGCGCATCTGCAGGGGTAGTGTCGCGCCCTATCAAATATGACGCGCGTCACTCCCTGCCATCGTCGCCGTCGCCGTCGAGGACGCAAGTGGATGACTTGGAGGGGGGTGACGAGGGAGAGGAGAGAGTGGTCGGTAGTGGGGGGGGGCCAGAGGGGCGGCCAGAGGAGAGAGTGGTCGGTGGTACCAGCCGTCCTGTGATATATTCGCCCCCAGCCAACCTCTGGTATGTTTGTCCCCAGCCGTCCTGTGGTATATTGGCCCCCTGCCGACCTGCGATTTGCAGATGCTCCGCGCGCAGGCGGTCTTGCGGGAAGCGAAATCTGGCAGGGCACTTCGGGCTAGGATGTTGTCGGTTTCTACCGTGCTTAGGCGGGGTGGAGGGGGGGCTCCTTCTCCCCCTCCCCCTCTTTGCGCTTTAGGGGTTTCGCATTTCCCCTCTCCTCCTCCCCTTTCCTCCTTCTCCTTCCCCTCTCGCGGAGTCTTGTCGGGGCTCTGCTCCTCGTGGAGTCTCGTCGAGGCTTTGCTCCCGGAGCCGATCGCCGTCCGTCCTTTCGTACAATGTGATCCAGACCGACGCAAAATGGCGCGCCAGATTTTGCCCCCCACCGAAATTTGCCCCGCCAGATTCTGCCTCCCGCGCGGCTGCCGCCATCGCCATCATTATCATCAGCATGACCTTCCTCTTCCTCATCTTGAGACATCCTCGCAACGCTGACTTCTGATATGCCCTGCCCCAAATTGGGCTGGCCATTTTCGCCCACGCAAAAACTCGCCTCGTTCACCTGGGGGGGGCGTGCCCAGCCTTGAAATAGTCTGACCCCCGATCTGCCCCGGGATGCGATGTTCAGACAACTTTCGCCCGGGGCGCCCTCGCACTTCTGACTTCGGAGGTGCCCCACCCCATGGCGGTCCGACCACTTTCGCCTGCGACATCCTCGCAACAGCGGCTTCCGAGACGCCTATAGCTGACCTCTTCAGGCCACTTTCGTCTGAGACAACGACCTCGCATATGCCCTGCCCCAAGTTGGTTCGGCCACTGTCGCCTGAGACCCTCGCGGGCCCTGCGCTACCCGCGCAAAGCATCGCGCGCGGCGGGAGATGCTCGGACCGCTGCGGGACTCCGTCCGCACCAGAGACTCAGGCTGATCAAACCGAGCCGCCCCAGAGCGGGGTGCGCCGTCCGCGCCAGAGCCAAACGCAAAACTCACGCCGTCGCCGTCGTCGTCGTGGCGGGGGACTGACAACCAGCCGATAACCCGATAAACCGATATGCGGCACAAGGATCGCCTCCACAGGTTCCCCCCCAGCGGTCTCAGACCAGCCAGTCAACCGATGAACCGATAAACCGATAAACCGATAAACCGACGAAGAGAGGGGGGGCGCGCCAGCAATCGCCTCGACGTTCGCATGCGAAGATTATCGGTTTTTCGGTTGGGCGACCGATCCACCGATAAACCGATCAAATTATATCGGTTTTTCGGTTGATCGGTTTGCAAACCGTTCAACCGATTAGTTTTTTATCGGTTGATCGGTTTATCGGTCGGATGGATTTCCGGAAGCCGTTGCCGCTGGCACAACTCACAGGCCCAAGCATATATTTTTGGCCATCTGTGGCCATGGGCCCCCTTTGAGACCTAACGTTCTTGTAAATGTTGGAACACGCTCAGGCCCCCTCATCAGCAGTTCTATATGCGTTGGGGGTCGATGGGCCCCCGGAAGCTGTCTGTAAAAAACGCCCATTGCCAGCGCGCGCAGGGATGGCGAGGGCGACCGGCAAGGCTGAGAAACATTCGCCCGACTCACTACGTGGCCCCCTGGTCGCGACGTTGGGCGGAGGCCTCCGAGTGCCTGCGGAGCAGTGCATGCGGGGAAGGTTTCGGCGGGCGTTTCTGCGCTTGCGTGGCCGCCTTTGGGCGCGTGCCCGCGACTGCGACCGGCCGCGGACGCTTCGTGATCAGTCGCGGGTGCTCGTGAGCACGCGTGGAAGGTCTCGCCAACCTTTTGGGGAATATGTAAACACGCGGGAGTGCTTGCCAGTGCTTCCGCGTGCCTCTGAGCGCCCGTGGTCTCGCATGGCCGCTTGCGGGCGTCTCCCCCAGTAGCTGCGCGCTTCTGAGTGCACGCGTGCGCCCCCGCGCGCACTGAATGGCGCTGCTATGTTGCGAGCCGCGCAAAACTGCCACTGCCGGTCCCCGCGTTCCTCTCCTCCTCCTCCTCCCTCCCCCTCCTCCCTTCTTCCCAATCGTCATCATCATCGTCATCATCGTCGTCGTCCGTCCGTCAATCATCATCATCATCATTATCATCGTCAGCATCATCGTCAATACGTGTCCGACCCACAAGCCCACTTCGGCACACCCTCCTCCATACGTTTACGTGGCCCATAGGTAGCTCCACCGAAGCCCCAGTGGCAGGGTCCGCATGCTCCCCATTACCCATTTCGTCACACACACCCCTCACACAAAGAAGATTCGTGCCCCTATAGGGAGCTCCACCCGACGGCCCCAGTGGCAGGTGTCCGCATAGCCCTCCCCACCACCCATTTCGGCAACATCCCTCAACAACGTTTCGTGGCCCCATAGGGAGCTCCACCGAAGGCCCCAGTGGCAGGGTCCGCATGCCTCCCCACCACCCATTTCGGCACACCGCTCACACGTTTCGTGGCCCCACAGGGAGCTCCACCGAAGGCCCCAGTGCAGGGTCCGCATGCCTCCCCACCACCATTTCGGCACACCCCTCACACGTTTCGTGGCCCCATAGGGAGCTCCACCGAAGGCCCCAGTGGCAGGGTCCGCATGCCCCCCCACCACCCATTTCGGCACAACCCTCACACGTTTCGTGGCCCCATAGGGAGCTCCGCCGCAGGCCCCAGTGGCAGGGTCCGCATGCCTCCCACCACCCATTTCGCGGCAACACCCTCACACGTTTCGTGGCCCCATTAGGGAAGCTCCACCGAAGGCCCCAGTGGCAGGGTCCGCTGCTCCCCACCACCCCATTATTCGGCACACCGAGCACAAAACGCATTCGTGGCCCCAAAGGGAGCTCCACCGAAGCCCCAGTGGCAGGTCCGCATTCCTCCCACCACCCATGTTCGGACAACACACCCAACAAAGCAACCCTTCACACGTTTCTTGGCCCCATAGGGAGCTCCACCGACGCCCCAGTGGCAGGGTTCGCATGCCTCCCCACCACCCATCTCGGCACACCCCTCACACGTTTCGTGGCCCCATAGGGAGCTCCACCGAAGGCCCCAGTGGCAGGGTCCGCGTGCCTCCCCACCACCTATTTCGGCACGCCCCTCACACGCTTCGTGGCCTCATAGGGAGCTCCACCGAAGGCCCCAGTGGCAGGGTTCGCATGCCTCCCTACCACTCATTTCGGCACTCCCCAACACCAATTTCGGCACACCACTCGCACGTTTCGTGGCCCCATAGGGATCTCCACCGAAGGTCGGGGGGAGCTTGAGACTCTGGTGACACATGCGTTGGCACGTCTGGGTGGCTATCGGGTGGCTGGAACCGTTGGGGTAATCCGTGGAGAATGGGCTGTGGAAGTCGCTTCTTGCCTTCGACATCTACACGGTGTCTCCGCCACCTCTTCCTGCGTGCCCAGTAACAGGTCTCATGATGCGATGATGATACTGATGTGTTGGCTCGCCCCAGTGAGCTCTCCCCGCCCCAGTGAGCTCCCCCCCTCCGCCCGCCACCTCCTGCCCGCGCTGCCCTGTGCCTCGTCCATGCAGTGGCGCGGTGCCTATGAGAAGAGGGGCCTAGTTTGCGTGCCCCCTCCTTCGTCGCATATCCGTGCGGTGCTCGCAGCTGCATATGGTTGGGTCCTTCGCCAGGCTAATCTAAGCCTTCCCGGAAGACGCAGCGCACTTTTCAGGGGGGGCCCGCCGCCTGCTGAGAGGGCCTCCTTCTCACTTACCCCCTCGTTCGCTGCTGACAGGAGGAGGGCGGAGAGAGCTCTCCACCCCTTCGCGCGGCATTCGGCCTCCGGGGGCTGCTTTCGGGCACTGAGGGGGTCAGATATGGATCCAGGGTGAAAAACGCTTGGAGCGGTGCAGGGACCGATTCTGACCGGATTCGGCCTCCTCCCCTCCTCCTGGCCGAAGGTGCCCCAAGGATCCCCGCGGGGGGCGCCGCCGGCGGGCCCCAAGAGGGCCCACAGAGGCCTTGCTGTAGCCGTTTGGGCTCAAGTTTTTTGGTTGGCTCGAGCCGCGCGGCGAGGTCGGGTCTCGCCAGCGTGCGGCCCACCGCCGCCGCCCGGTGCAGGAGCCCATGGTGTTCTCCAGCCTTTGGGGCATGCTGCCGGTGTTTGGCGCGCGCTCGGCGAAGGTGGACCCCCGGGGCACGGGTGGTCCTCAGCTGGCCGCGGGCGGCAGGCGGCGCTGGGCCCCTCACTGGGGCATCGCGCGCGCGCAGCTGCAGGAGCTGCTGCTGCAGCTGCGCAGCGGCGACAGGTGGGTCGCCACATACAACGTTTACGACCTGGTGGACAAGTTTATCAAGCCAACCACCGCGGGCACGGGCACAGGATACGCGCTCATGATAAACAGGGACCAGCCGAAGGAGGTCAACCTGATGGTCTCGCACGCGTGGTCTGAGAACGCCGAGGAATTCCTGGAGACCTGCATCTGGTACGCCTCCGACACCGACGCGATGTTCATATGCGCCCTGGCCCTCTACCAGGTCGGGGACGCGTCTGGGCCCACGGTCGAGGAGCAGCTGGGCGACGGGCCCTCTGACAGCCCCTTCTTCCGAGTGCTGAAGCACATCCGCGACCGGGGCCGCCGCCTGGGCCCACTCCGGTGGCCGGTCCGGTTTATCTGCACCTGCCCGCCGGCCGCTGCTCCTGGGAACCGGGCTCATCGCGCTCTACCTGACGACGCTGTGGCACGGCTGCGCCCCCCTCGCCGACGCCTGCGCCACCAGGGTGATGTTGGATGGCTCGGGCGAGGCGCGCATGTTCTCGTGGGAGTGGCAGTGGGTCGACCTTCCGGACGACACGTCGGGCAGCTCTCGAGCTGGGCTTCTGCTCCTCACGGCCGCCCTCGCCTGCCAGTGCCTCAAGAGGCTGACGTGCAGCGGCCACGTGGTGGTCGTGCCGAACAGGGAGTGCGACATCTACACTCGGCTCTGGTGCGTCTATGAGATTTTTGTCGCTCGAGAGCGCACGGGCGTTCCCGTTGCCCTCGGGCACACCTTCGCCTCCGCGGGAAGATGTAGCTCCCGGGAGGCGACCTGCGGCAAGCCAGTTCAGCCAGGGGACCCCCCTAATGCAGACACTGTCCGCATCACGAAGGAGATCCTCGACGCCGGCGGCGACAAGGAGCACGACCGCATCGATCGGGCCGTCTTCTTGACGACCCGCGCCATGTATTTCAGCGCGGCTTTCTGGGCCCTGTGGTTCACGGCGCTCGTGGGCACCTTCTGCGCCGCGGAGTGGCACCTGCGAGCCCCCGAGATCGGGGCCGGGGCGGTAGTGGGGGACCTGCTCGCGTGCGCCGTCTGCGGCTGTACCGTGGTATCTCGCGCGTTGTTCGCGTGCACCAGAGCACAGGGGCGCCTCGCTCCGAAGGCTGTCGCGGTGGCCGTGCTTCCCCTGTTCTTAGGCGCCTGCGCGCTCACCTTCGCGAGTTTCGTTGCCAGGGTGGCCTTGACGGACGAGGGGAAGATTCGTGAGAGTTTCGGCTACACGCTCTTCGCCTCCTTCTGTGGGAACGGTGCCAGCTTCCTCATGGCTGGCTGCGCGATTGGTTTCATGGGCATTGCGGCTGCTGCGGTGGCACATTCGCTCCCCAACGCCCTCGTCGGCTTCGCGATTCGGCGGCCCGCGGCGTTTTGCTTGCTGACGTCCACGCCGCTGGTGTTGCTGCACGTCATAGTGTTCAGGACTCGGATGTCGCAGCTTCGTGACCTCTACGCGGCGCTCGTGTTCCACACGGCGGGCGTCATCGGCTATTTTTTCATCTCGGTCGGCCTTTCGTGGTGGATCCTCGTGCACGAGTGGGGCGTGAGGGCTGACCTCAGTTATTAAGACTTGGACGATCTTCGCACCCAGACATGTTTCAGAGATCAGCGCCGCGCCCTTGCCAGCCCCAGTTGTGTGGTATTCTGGCGCGCTCAGGAGGTATGATGTTGACTGGTTGCCACTCGCTGCAGACGCTGTGTGGCGCAGAATTGTTGTGCCGAGCGAGTGCTTCAGGGCCTTGTCGTTCCAGCCCGGGCTAGTGAAGAGCTGCGTGTTTGTTCCCAACCATCCTGTGGTGTTGGGTCCTCGTTTTGTAGAGACGGCGCCCCGCGTTCCTCACCTCCTCCTCCTCCCCCCCCTCCCTCCTCCCATCATCATCATCATCATCATCATCATCATCATCATCATCATCACCACCGATTTCGGCACGCCCCTCACACGTTTCGTGGCCCCATAGGGAGCTCCACCGAAGGCCCCAGTGGCAGGGTCCGCATGCCTCCCCACCGCCCATTCATTCGCGATCGTCAAGCGACTTGCTCATCGTCCAGTGGATTTGGTATGTAAGTCAACTGTCGGTCCCAAGCTCGGGACGGGCCGCATGCCTCCCCACCACCCATTTCGGCACACCCCTTCACAGAACACGTTTTCGTGCCCCACTAGGGAGCTCCACCGAATGCCCCGTGGCAGGGTCCGCAGCCTCCCCACCACCCCTCTTCGGCACACCCCTCACACGTTTCGTGGCCCCACAGGGAGATCCACCGAAGGCCCCAGTGGCAGGGTCCGCATGCATCCCCACCACCCATTCGGCACACCCCTCACACGTTTCGTGGCCCCATAGGGAGCTCCACCGAAGGCCCCAGTGGCAGGGTCCGCATGCCTCCCCACCACCCATTTCGGCACACCCCTCACACGTTTCGTGGCCCCATAGGGAGCTCCACCGAAGGCCCTAGTGGCAGGGTCCGCATGCCTCCCCACCACCCATTTCGGCACACCCCTCACACGCTTCGTGGCCCCATAGGGAGCTCCACCGAAGGCCCCAGTGGCAGGGTCCGCATGCCTCCCCACCACCGATTTCGGCACACCGCTTCACGACGTTTTTTCGTTGGCCCCATAGGGGAGGCTCCACCGAAGGCCCCAGTGGCAGGGTCCGCAATGCCTCCCACCACCCAGCTGTTCGGCACAGACCCCTCACACGTTTCGTGGCCCCATAGGGACTCCTCCGAAGGCCCACTGGCAGGTGCCGCATGCCTCCCACACCACCCACCAGTTCGGCACAACAACATGACCCCTTCACACGTTTCGTGGCCCCCAGAGGAAGCTCCACCGAAGGCCCCAGTGCAGGGTCCGCATGCCTCCCCACCACGCAAATTCGCACAACCCCTCACACGTTGTGTCCCCATAGGGAGCTACACCAAGGCCCCAGTGGCCAGGGTCCCCTGCCAGGGTCCGCATGCCTCCCCACCACCCATTTCAGCACACCCCTCACACGTTTCGTGGCCCCATAGGGAGCTCCACCGAAGGCCCCAGTGGCCTGGTTTGCATGCCTCCCCACCACCCATTTCGGCACATCCCTCGCACGTTTCGTGGCCCCATGGGGATTTCCACTGAAGGCCCCAGTGACTGGGTTCGCATGCGCTCCCACCACCCATTTCGGCACACCCCTCACACGTTTCGTGGCGCCATAGGGAGCTCCACCGAATGCCCCAGTGGCTGCGTTCGCATGCCGCCCCCACACAAATTTCGGCACACCCCTCACACGTTTCGTGGCCCCACAGGGAGCTCCACCGAAGGCCCCAGTGGCTGCGTTCGCATGCCGCCCCCACACCATTCGGTACACCCTCACAACGTTTCGTGGCCCCCATAAGGAGCTCCACCGAAGGCCCCAGTGGCAGGGGTTCGCAATGCCGCCCCCAACGACCCATCTCGGGGCACAAAGAGAGGGCAATAAGCACCCCTCAAACGGTTTGTGGCCCCATAGGGAGATCCACCGAAGACGGTACTCACACCAGCATTGCTCACAACTGCATATGGTTGGGTCCTTCGCCAGGCTTTTTTTTGTTGTTGTTTTCCTTTCTTTCTCCCCCCCTCTCTCTATTTCTTTCTTTCTTTCTTTCTCTCTCTCTCTCTCTATCTCCCTCTCCGGTGGTTTGAAATATTAGGTGAGGCGCCATATTGGCCTGGAAACTACAAAGAGCCCTCAGCGTTGACAAATTGGGCCGCCTCCGACGCGCCCACTCGCGCATGGTGGTTCCCGCATTTTGCGCAAGAGGGATGTCGCAAGTTGGCGTGGCAACTATAGCGGACCCCTAGCGGTGACCGCTTGGATTTCCAACTTGACATCGTTTCTCCATGGGTTTTCCATTAGCGCAGGGTACAACGCTCCGATTCGCGCGCGCGCTCTCGCGCTTGTTTTTGTTTGTATTTTCTGCAGTCGGGAGAATCGCCATCTTGGTTTGGCACGTAGACAATGGTGCTCAAACGTTGACCGAATGGGTTTCCAACCGAGCATGCGGTCTCCACGGGTTTGTCCACAGGCGCAGCGTAGGATGCCCCGATTGGTTTCTGCAGTGCGCGCGCGCGCTCGTGCTTGGTTGTTTTCGTGTTCTTCGCAATAGAGAAGTCGCGATGTTGGCCTGGAAATTACAGTGGGCCCGTAGCGGTGACCGGCTGTGTTCTGGACCTATAGTGCGGTTTTCACGGATGTGTCCACTGGGGCAGCGTACGCTGCTCCGACGCGCACTTGGTGGTTTCTGCATAGTGCGCAATTGGGAAGTAGCCCTGTTGGCTCGGGAACTAGCTGGACCCTGAGCGGTGGCCGATTGGGTTTCCAACCGAACACTGGCGCAGTGTTCAATTCTCCGACGCGCGCGCGCTCGCCGTTGGTCTGAGGTCTAACTTGAAAAAAGTTCCCCGCGGGTCTGGCCACAAGTGCAGCGTGCGCTTCTCCAACGCTCGCGCATTCGCGCGTGGTGCTTGTCGCGTTATGCGCAGTAAGGCAGTGGCCCTGTAGGCCATTTGGCGATATGCGCAATAAGGGCGTTGGCCGCTTGGGTTTTCAACCTAACATGCTATCCCTGCGGTCTTGTCCATTGGCGCAGCGTGTAATGATCCGGCACCCGCGCTTCATTATGCGCAAGGGGAAAGTCGCCATGCTCGCTTCGAACCTAGAGTGAAACTTCAGCGTTGACCTATTAGGTTTCGAACTGGATTTGCGGTCTCCACTGTTGTGTCCAGTGGCTTAGCGTGCGCTGCCGTGACGCGCGTGCGGGGCAGTTTTCATATCATGCGCAAGAGGGAAGGCGCCATGTTGACCCGGCAACAAAAAATGCCCATTCGTGTTGACCGATTGGTCTCTAGCCTAACATGCGGTCTTCTCGGGTTGGTCTACTCGCGCAGCGTAGAGTGCTCCGACGTGCGCTTGGTGGTTATCGTCTTGTGCGCAGCAGGGAAGTCGCCGTGCTGTTCTGGGAACTATGGTGCATCCGTAGCGTTGGCCATTTGGATTTCCAAACCAACATGCGGTATTCACGGTCTTGTCCATTTGCGCAGCGGGCAAGACTCCGATACGCGCGCTTTGGTATACTGTGCGAGGGGGGAGACGCCATGCTGTCAGGGAAACTAAAGTGTATCATCCGCGTTGACCGACTTCTTTTCCAACCTAACATGCGGTCTCCGCGTGCTTGTCGACTGGCGGCGCAGTTTATGATGCTCCGACGCGCGCTTGGTGGTTCTGGTATCCTGTACAGTAGGGAATTTGCCATGTCGGCATGGGAGCTAACGTTGCTATTGTTGCTGATGGTGTTGGCTCAAGCCAAGGGCGGCTCAAGGGAGCTCCCGGCCCCCGCGCCCGGCCCCCGGCCTCCCGCGCGCCTGGCCCCGCTCTGCGCCGCGGCGGCCGAGCACTTCGGAAGGGCAGAGGCGCGAGCCGCAGCACAAGCGGCGGCAGCCCGAGCCTCCGCTCGAGGGCTTGGCTCCGGACGAGGGCCTGGCGTTGTCGCCGCGGAAGACGGCGCGTACGCCGCTGCCATGCCCTCTGGCCGTGAGCCGCCGGCACTTTGCGAAGATGGAGCTGCTGCTGGAGGAGACGCAGGCTCGGGCGAGGTTGCAGTCGTCCAATCCCTCGGAAGCACGGCTGCTGGAGGTGAAGACCGCGCTGCTGCAGGCCCGGCTGCTGGAGGCGAAGATCGAGTGCACGAAGAGGGAGCTGCTCGCGCTGGGAGTCAGGCCGGCGACCAGCAGCCCGGCGACCAGCTCGGCGGCCAACAGCTCGGCGACCAGCTCGGCGGCCAGCCCGGCGCCTTGCCTGGCTGCAGGCCGGGCTCTCAGTCCGGCTCCCAGCCCGCCGAGCAGCCCGACGTCCACCCTGGCGTCCTGCCAGCACGTGTCGCTGGTGCAGTTTGCGGACGACGTGATCTGCACCTTCGCGGTCCCGGCGCCGACACCGGACCCAAGCGACGCCGAGAGTCACCAGCCGCTGTCGGTGGCCCCAGGGGAGGTGGAGGGGGTGGATTGGGACCCGGACCCCAGCGAGGCTTAGACAGCCCGCCGCCGAGCGGGACGCCGACCTGTGCCAGACCAGCCGCAATCTTCGACCTCGCCGTGCTCGACCCGGTCCCGGAGCAGCGCTTGCAGTCGCCACTCTTCCCCTTCGGAGAAAATTTGGTGTGGGCTTGGTACCGCGATGCTCTGATTCCTGTTGGTTTAGTGGAAGTCTTCCAGCTGAATGGTGACGATTCGTATTCTGAGACGCCTGCTCCTGCACCTTCCTTGTTGGTCAGAGCGTGCGCCTTCCCCGGCTGCGCGCCCGGCGCCCAGCCCGGCGGCCCGCCCGGCACCCTGCCCGAGGGCCAGCCCAGCGCTCCGGCCGACGCCCAGCCCGGCGCCCTGCCCGGCTGCCTGCCCGGCGCCCTCGCCGCCACCGCCGTGACCGGCAGCCAGCCCGGCACGCCGCCCCCGCCGGCGTCGGCGCCCAGCCCGGCGCCCGGCACGGCTGCCAGCCGGCCGCCCAGCCCGGCACCCTGCCCAGCGGCGCGGCTGGCGCCCTGCCACCAGGCGGCCAGCCCTGCGCCCCCGCCCAGCCCTGCGCCTTGCCAGGCTGCCAGCCCGGCCCCCCGGCCGACGGCCGGCCTTGCGCCCTGCCCCGCCGCCAGCCCGACGGCGAGCCCGGCGCCCCCGCCGACGCCTTGCCCGGCGCCCTGCCAAGCTGCCAGCCCAGCGCCCCCGCCGGCTACGAGCCTGGCGCCTTGCCCGGCGGCGCGGCCGCCGCCCTGCCGGGCCGCCAGCCCGGTGCTCCCGCCGACGCCCTGCCCGGCGGCTAGCCCGGAGGCGAGCCCGGCGCCCTCGCCGACACCCAGCCCGGCTCCCTGCTT